TGGCACGGCGGTTTTGAATTTGGGGGAAAGTTTTTCCTTTTGTCTTACTCACGCCCCTTCGCCTTTTTCACTTCACTCATTTTTCGTTTTCTGGCTTCTCGAGTATGATAGCCTTTCTTGCCTCCTTGCTTTCGCTCGTCTTCCTTCTCCGTTTCCGTCACCATTTCCGGTAACCCAGTCCTTATTATAGGGTTGTTTTCTGAGGAGGAGTGCCAGGTACCTCCTTCCGGTGGCTTCCTTTCCCTTTTTTTTGGCTCATCTTCGATCTTTCTCTTCTTTCTGATGGCTGGTGCATGTGGCGCCAGCTCTTCTGCGCCTGTCCGGGGCAGGGCGCGCGGTAAGGCGCTGGTTACCGGGAGAGCCGCTACTGAGAGGGCGTGGACCCACCTTCACCCAAGGATCTGGAGCCGGGTGTTCCTGGTTATGACTGGGTCAAGCGCGAAGTGGCTAAGGTTGAGAGTGTGTTCAAATCGTTTTTAGAGGTCAACGCGGTTTGGAGGACACACAGGATTTGTGACCCTTCTATTTCCCGGATGGTTCGGCTGGAGCCCTGTCCGGCCGGTGAGGGTGTGTACATGGGGAGCTCTACCGACCCTCCTCATTTCTACGTCTACCAGTGTTTTCTCAGGGACCTGGGTGTCTGTCTTCCTTTCACTCAGTTTGAGTGTGATTTTTTAAATTATGTCAACACGGCTCCTAGCCAGCTGCATCCCAATAGCTGGGGTTTTTTAAGGGTGTTCCAAGTCTTGTGTGTGGTTCTAGGGATAGAGGTATCCCTTAGGGTTTTTCTCCAGTTCTATCAGTTGAAGTTGGGTGTTTCGCCTTATGGTGTTCTTTCTTTGAACGGGGGTAAAGATGGGGGTTTATTTACTCTTTACTCCCAGTCTTACAAGAATTACAGGCAAGAGTTCTTCCGGGTTGCCCTTGTCAACGTCGACCCTCTAGAGGATGGGGGTTTGTACTTTGGCGGGCTGCCGAGGTTCCCTTTCTATTGGTGTCCTGACCCGTCTGGGTTTCACGGGGTGGACCCTTCGCAGTTAACAGCTTCGGAGGTGGCTGCCATTGAGGCTCTTAAGGCACTTCCCCGGCCACTGGATTGTAAACTCATCTTGTCGCTCGAGAACTCGGCGCACAGGGAAAGGGCCTGGAGAGTGAGTATCTTGTATTTCCGTAACCTGTTAGGGTTCGTATAATTTGTTTTCGCTGATGTGTTCTATTTTTTTGTTTGCAGGTATCATGGGGAAGAACTTGTGGCACGAGGTGAAGCACTGCTACAATGTTACTAAGCTCGAGGCTCCTGAACCTCGAGAAGAGGAGGTCCCCCCTCTGAAGACCAACCAGAAAAGAAAGAGGGGTGCGAAAGAGGTCGGGGGGACCTCTGCCCCTTGCGAAACGGAGGAGGTTGCCTCTGAAGTCGCTGGTGTTGAGGCGGTGGATTTGACTGGGAGTCCTCCGCCTGAGGAGGGTGTTCGGGTGGCCGTCGAGGAGGTGGCAACGGCTGCTGAGTCTCTTGCTCAACCTACTAGGGTGTCCACCCGAGCTGCTGAGCGGGTTGGTGAAGCTGCCGTGGTGAGTGCCTTGCTTGATTATTCTTTCTTCTGTTATGTATGCTCTTTTTCAGTTTTCTGACTTGGGGTTGTCTGTTACAGGTGGGGCCTGTTGCCGAGATGGCTACCCGAGCTGTCGGTCAGGTCGTTCCGACCTCCGAGACAGTGGCTCCGGTCGCCGAGCGGGTCGCCCAAGCTGCCGAGGTAAGCAGTGTGTACTTGTGGTCCTTTGATGCACTATATTCCTGATTCTTTTCTGCTTGTGAGGTTTATGTGTCTTTTCCTCTTTCTTTTGTAGGCGAGCAAGGCTGCCGAGGTTCTGGAGACTCCGAGGTCGGTGACGACAAGGGTCGATGTTTCTGGTGCAGGGCCGGAGGCTTCTGCCTCTGCTTCGGCCGATATTCGCAGAAAAGGTCCTAGCTCTGGGGTCCCGACTTTTGCTCCAGTGGCGAAGGGACCTCCCAAGTGCCTGTATCTTGCGTATCGCTACGCGCGGGAGGGTGCGCCGATGCGGTTGGAGCATCTGAGCGCGTCAGAGGAGATCGACTCTCTGTGGAGTGCCACGATGACTCCGGACAAGTTTTTCCCCCAGGGGTCACTAAGCGCGGCTTATCAGGTAATGATTGAGTCAGCCGGGCTGATGGGGAGCTTTGAAGCTGCTCAGATCTTCTTGCAGAGGGGCGCGACCATTGTGGATCACTGGAAACACAAGTGGTCCAAGCAGCAGGAGGATATGGCGAAGCTGAAGAGCCACGTTCAGCCCTTGAGGGAAGAAAATAAGGTTTTGAAGGAGGAGAGCGGGTTTCTGACCGCCGCTCTTGGTGAAGCGAAGCTGTAGGGGGCCGAGCTCCAAGCGACAAGGGGGGACCTCACCAAGGTTCAAGAATCACTGGAGGCCGCCCTGGGCTCCAATGAAGGCTATGCGGGTCAGGTTCGCTCTTTGGAAGATAAAGTAGTGTTTTTGAAGGGCGAACTAGTGTCGGTGACCGAGGAGCGTCTTCGCGACGAGGTTATTATTGGTAGCAAGGAAGAGGAGATAGCTGCCCAGAGGGTAGGTCTTTCGGCTTTGGAGGCCGAGAGGGCGGCGCTGAAAAGGAGACTTGAGGAGGTTGAGCACTCCCTCGTGGTGAAGCATAAGAGAGGTTTCCTCAAGGCTGCTCGCCAGGCTAGACTCTTTGCGCCGGGGTTTGACTTTTCTAGTATGCATGTGGAAAAAGTTGTTCGTTTTGGGAAGTTGGTGAGGGAGGACGACGTCGAGGATAGCTCTAGCGAGAACGCCTCTGCGTAGGCCAATTTTGATTGCGTTTGTCTGCTTTGTTTTTTTTTATTTGAATTCATGTATTGAACATGGTTTTTGTGTTTTTCTGCGTCTGAGCTTGATTTAGGCTATTTTCGCATTTTAAGACATACGTTCGATGTCTGTTGCATGGTTTTGTACATGGTGGTACTTTGTTTTGAGTTGCTCGTGCTGAGGTTCAGAATCGACCTCGGCTTTATTAAGTAACACGTTGCGAAGGTTCGGACTCGACCTTAGTTTTTTGTTAAGTATTACGTTGCGAAGATTCGAACTCGACCTTAGGTAATAGTGCCGAGGTTCGATTTCGACCTCAGGTTACCGTGTTAAGGTTCGTACTCGACCTCGAGTAAATGTGTTGGGTTCATATTCGACCTTCAAATGAGTGCGTCGAGGTTCGTACTCGACCTTGAATGAATGCGTCGAGGTTCGTATTCGACCTCAAATGAGTGCGTTGAGGTTCGTACTCGACCTCGAATGAAAGCGTCGAGGTTCGTATTCGACCTCAAATGAGTGCGTCGAGGTTCGTACTCAACCTCCAATCTGCGTACAGCGTACTAGGGTTCGTATTCGACCTTAAGTTAGAATAAAATGGATCATGCCGAGGTTCGGACTCGACCTCTGGCGGTCGCGTCTGAGGTTCGTTCTCGACCTCGAATAAATATGCTAAACAGAGGGCGTTTTGTAGCAAAGTGGTGAAGGAAAAAGGTTGTGGATAAAAGGGAATGAGTTATTTTATTGACGAAAATATGTGCCTCGTTAAAAACCCTCTCAGCCAAAACCCATCTTTTTGTTTTTTGGGACAAAAGACTGAGGCGGGAAAAGAGTGCACAGCTCATTCATACAAAGTTTAATTGAAATAGAACTTGAGATGCGTAGCATTCCAAGTTCGCGGTATGGGTTTCCCGCTGAGCTCTTCTAGTCTGTATGCTCCATTTCCAAGTCTTCTATAACTCGGAAGGGGCCACCCCAAGTGGGTGCAAGTTTTCCGTCTGACGTGTCCTTTCTTGCTTCGCCTAGTAATCGCCAAACCAAGTCACCTGCTCGAAAAGAGCGAGGTTTTACTCGGGTATTGTACCTTTCTGGATGCTCGGAGCTTGCAGGCTTCCTCGTGGATTCGAGCTTCGTCTCTAAGTTCGTCCACTAGGTCGAGGTCAGCTGCTAGTTCTTGGGCATTCTGTTTGCCGCTGAAGACTTGGCGTCTGTGGGATGCTTCACCGACTTCTACTGGGATCATTGCATCGGCTCCATAGGTCAGCCTGTAAGGCGTCTCTTGCGTGGTCGATTGGGGGGTGCAATGATACGCTCAGAGGATGCTGGGGAGTTCATCGGGCCACTGCCCTTTGGCGTTTCCTTGTCGCTTTTTGAGTTCCCGTAGGATGACCTTGTTGGCAGCTTCGGCCTAGCCATTGGTTTGGGGGTGTTCCACTGAGGTCGAAAGGTGTTTGATTCCGAGCTCGTGGAGGAAGTCCTCGAATTCCTGTGCGATGAACTGTCGACCATTGTCACTAACGAAGGCGTGAGGGATTCTGAACCTGTAGATGATATTCTTCCAGGTGAACTTCCACACGTTCTCGGTGGTGATTTTGGCGAGTGGGCATGCTTCGATCCATTTGGTGAAGTAGTCCATCGCTACCAGGAGGAACTTTAGTTGGCCTTTCGCAGGGGGGAATGGCCCAAGGATGTCCATTCCCCACTGGGAGAAAGGCCACGCTGACATCATGCGGTGAAGAGTTTCGAGCGGTTGTCGGTTTGCGTTGCCGAATTGCTGGCATTCTTTGCATTTTTGGATGTGGCTTTGGCTATTCGACTTCAGAGTGGGCCAGTAGTACCTAGCTCAGAGCACTCTGGTTGCCATCGAACGTGCCCCGGAGTGCATGCCGCATATTCCCTGGTGAATTTCCTTGATGACATAGGCTGCCTGAGACGCAGTCAGGCATTTGAGCAGTGGAGAGGAAATGCCACGCTTGAATAACTCATCCCCGATGACGACGAACTTGGCCAACCTCATCCTTATCTTCCAATCTTCGTCTTTATTTTCGGGCAGGATTCCTTCTTTCAAGTAGCTCTAGATGTCTTCCATCCAACCCAGGTCTTCATTGTCACTGACGTTGACGACCTTGTCGTCTAAGCTGGGTGAGTGCAAGGTTTCCTGGATGATGGTTTGGTGCTGCCCGGGTCTTTTGGTGCTGGCGAGCTTCGATAGGAGGTCAGCTCGGGTGTTTTGCTCTCGTGGTACATGTTTTATGGTGAATTTGTCGAAGGACGAGATCTGGTGGGACGCAGTGTGAAAGTATCGCTGTAGTAGAGTGTCCTTTGCCTGGTATGTCCCACTGAGCTGCTCCACCATGAGTTTCGAGTCGCTGTTGCAACTCACTCTTCGAGCTCCGAGGTCGCGGGCTAGCCTTAGCCCTGCGAGAAGTGCTTCGTACTCTGCTTGGTTATTGGTCACTTTGAAGCCAAACTTGAGGGACTGCTCTAAGGCGACTTGGTTTGGCCCTTCCAGAATGTTGCCTGCTCCGCCACCTTTAGAGTTGGAGGACCCGTCAACATGCAAAGTCCACACCTGGGGCTCCTCGGCCGTAGTTAGCGTGAGCTCGGCTACGAAGTCGGATAGGCATTGGGCCTTCAGGGGTCCGCGCCCTTCGTACTGGATCCCGAACTCAGATAGTTCCACCGACTAGGCGATCATGCGTCCAGCGAGCTCAGGTTTTCGCAGAATTTGCTTGATGGGGTAGTCAGTTTTGACTACCACCTGGTGGCTCTGGAAGTAGGGTCTAAGCCGCCAGGCCGCGGTGACAAGCGCCAACGCCAGCTTCTCGATCATTTGATACCTCCTCTCTGCGTCTTGGAGGACTTTGCTGATGAAGTAAATAGGTGTCTGTACCTTCTGGTACTCTTGCACGATCACTGCGCTGATGGCGTTTTCCGCTACAGCCAAGTAGAGGAGGAGGTCGGTGTTGTGATCCGACCTCTGTAGGATTGGTGAGGTTGTGAGAAAGGTTTTGAAACTTTGGAAAGCTTCTTCACATGCTACAAGAATTTCGCGGATTAGCGAGGGAATTTAGCGAGGGATATAAATCCAAGCTATTTCCTCGCTAATTAGCGAGGGACTGGCGAGGAATACAGTATCTCTCTAATCCCTCGCTAATTAGCGAGGAAATAGCTTGTATTTATATCCCTCGCTAAATTCCCTCGCTAAATAGGATCATTTTGCGACCAACCTTCATCTCCTCGCAAATCCGTCGCTAAAGCTAGTGCTTATTTAGCGAGAAACTCAGGCCCTCGCAAATCCCTCGCCAAATTAAGAGCCAAAATATAAAAACAAAATTTTCATTTAGCGAGGGCGTTTTCTTGTCGCAAATCCCTCACTAATGAGTTATAAGTATAGCCCTCGCAAATGCCTCGCAAATCCGTCACAAATTAGTGAGGGAAAAGGTTTTTCGCTAATCCCTCGCAAATAAGAGATTTCGTTGCTAGTAGAATTTGAAATCCAAGTATTTGTAAATTCTCTCATAAAAGTAAGAATTTGAAATTTCTCATATTTTTTTCTTTTTTATTTTACTTATATATATTTTATCTTATTTGTTATCTCTTCATTTTTTTTAATTATTGAATATTTAAAAATATTTTTAAAATTATTAAATATTATCTAATATTAATTTTAAAAATTATTAAATATTATCTAACATTATCTATTAAATAAAACTATTGATTAAAAAATAAAGTATACAAATTTTTAGACTTAATTTATTGAATAAGAAATTCAATATATAACGTAATTACATTCATTAAATAACTCTTTTAAGAGTTACTTTTGAAGTAACTGAATTTTCACTCATATATATTTTTTAAAACACACACACACACACACACA